AAAGTTCATCTCTTGACAGGCCAACTTTCTTATCGTGGGCTAACCATTGCTCAGACACCACATGCAATCAGTCACTGGAACTGTGTCTTACCTTATGTTGGCAGAGTCCTTTGGAACCTAGGGTCCTTGAGTCACTTCCTTACTACCTTGATAGGAGGAATTTGGTGAAAGCACTAGAGGTTCTTCAATAAAGTCACTTTATTCTTCATTATTAATGTGGTGTTTAATGATGATTATTGGATTGTGTGATCAGAGGCCATTATTCAAATGCATATAATTTTACCTTGGGTGGGATAAATTTCTTCATAAAACATAGATATTATCGCATCAATCATCATTCATTAAATCACCTACTATGTGTCAGGTATTATACTAGATGCTACTGATTCAAAAACAGAGCAAACAAACAAAATAAAATTTTGCAAATCAAATGAAGAGTCATAATTTGAGAAAGTGTGTATGTAAACTTAGTACCAGTTTCAGGGAATCCAGGTTGAGTAGAATCTTTAAAAGAACTCTACATGAAATGATGAAATCACCACAAAGGAAAAAAAATTCATTTTGTTATTAGGGCTGAACAGCCAAAAATATGGGCTCTAATTCTTGGCAACAGAACATCCCCCTGATTAGCTTAGGAAGGGGTGGCTCCTGACATTTACTAAAGTGATCAGCAGTGCTATTTGCAGTAAATTCTACATGGTTCCTTTCAGGTTTTAAGCTTAAAAATTAGACAGAAAGAGATACCCATGGTTTCATGCGAAAATATGAAAAGATTTTTACATTCTATGATAAATACTACAAAATATCTGATAAATTTATGTGATTAGAAAATTATCCAGGTTAACACTATGTAATGTTAATATGATACTGTCTCAGCTCATAAAAGGTCTCAAATTTTAGGAAAAATTTTTACCCCAAATATTAAGAAATGAGATAAATTACCTAAATACTCAGAATGTTAAGAACTATATAAATCCTTTTCCTGTATGTAATATTCTTTCATATTTCAAAATTAGATAAACTAGATCCTCATCAGAATTTCACCTTAGATTATGATTTTCTGCAGGAGGCATTCATGAATCTGATGATAAACATCAGAATAGTAGCTCTCAAAAAAGAGTAGCCATTTTTCTCTGAACTGTTGTCATGAATTCAGAATGGTACTAGTGGAAGAGTATATTCCTCATCTGTGGAAGGATAAATTTCTCTCTAGGTATTTAGTCCCAATGAATTTCTTGTATTTAAGATGCTTTGTAAATGTTTTTGTTACTTACGAGGGAATTTTTAGACTTTAATAACTGAGCAAAAAGCTTGCTAATAGCTATCTATTTGGTAAGTGGTTAAGGGGTTTAACCTCAGTCATTATGTAAATATTAAAACATATATAGAGAAAGAGAGTTAGATATTAAATTATTTGAAACAGTGACTTGTTTGCTTCCAAGCAATTGCTTTTACCCATACAGCCCTATTTACCATTTGTAAATTTGCCATCTAGTTCTCGCTGTAATGTCTTATTTCCAGTGTTTCTAGCTTTGCTGGTTGTCAGCCTGTTGATAGATAGATAGATAGACAGACAGACAGACATTACTGTTACAAGAGATCATGTTTTTAAAAATCATAGGTATTTACTAATACTTAATGACATCAAAGAATGAAGAAATCACTGCAGCTTTTCTTAGCTTCTCAATATTTTTTAAGCAATTCAGAGAAATTTTTAACTGCACTCATGTTGCTCTGAAAGGAATAGGGAATAGAATGGAGCTTAAAGTTGGGAAGACTGACCTGGGTTTAAATTCCATTTCTGACACATACTGGCCATGTGATCCCTTGGCAAGTTATTTAACCTCTAAGTGCTCTGGAAGACTTTCTGAGAACTTTTAAGCTACAAAACAGTTACTGACATGCATTGCTAGAGGGAGTTTGCTCATAGGGAGCTCCTATACTAATGAAATCACAGGTCCATTTGAAAGGTAGATGGATGGGTAGAGATAGACAGATGGATAAGTGGGTGGGTGGATGGATTTACTTTAGTCTGTGGTAGACTACAAAAGATGTTTTGGTATTGGGTCGGAGAATTCAAGTAAATCAAAAAATGTCTCCCTAGTTCATCTATAAAACCATTTTTTTCTAAAAACTGATCAGATTATCAGATCAGGCTAATCCCATGGAGAAGCAGATTGATAAAGTAGAAAGACCATAGAGCTTAAGAAACATGTGTGTTCAAATCCTGACTTCTACAGTTACTAGTTGTAAGAATCAGAGTAAAACATTTGCGTTCATTCTCTAATTCCTCATCTGTGAGATGGGTAATAATAATGTTGTAACTACCAAACCAACACAGAGTTGATATGAAGAAAATAATATATAAATCTGTTACGTATAGCAATAGATGTTTTTCTAAGGCATTTTTTATCATTTTTCCCCCGCCTCAGGTTTATTCTGTGACCTGTGCAAATCATTTAATAGCTATATCTAATTATTGTTTGGAAAGAAGTCAGTAGAGTCCATACTTGAGAGATAATAACAGCGCAATATGTAATACCATCAAATTAAGTTTCTTCAAATTGCCTTCACCAGGGTGCCCATTTTCTTTAATTTTATAGAATTTTGCTTTTTTTTTTAGTTGTCCTAGGTCAGCATAATTTTTTTCCTTTCGGAAAAAATTGACTAGTCTAAATGTTGGTACCTTCAAAGCAATATTTGCTGGTTATTTTTTAAAGTAGTTTAGATATTTATTTTTTAAGTAGTTTGGATATTTTGTGAGGAACCTGAAACAAAACTGCAAACAAGGCACTTTATGAAAGAGAATAAAAGCATCTTTTTTCTAGTAACATATATATGCCTTATCTGATATGAGCAAATATAGTACCATCTTCATGAGGGCCTGTACTGTCAATATGTTAAATAACACACTGGTCTTATTTGTACTCTCCATTCAAAGATGATACTAAATCACCATGGGTAGGACAGTTGCTGTGAGGGGCTTATTCTAGGTAGAGGGCTAAATTTGCACAGATTAACCCATATGTACCATTGAACACACATTTGTGTAACACATTCAGAGTGAGGAATGTAGTCTTAATGGAATCCTGCAAAGTTAATTGACCCATTCAAGGTTTTGATCTTTGTTCTTGATATTGGAACAGAACTTGTTGAAATAGAATCAAACCTGACTGATCAGGTAAAACTGGGATCAGATACTTTCTTTCTCCTTACTAGCTTGCATGCCATTGAACAAGGAACTTCCTGCTCTGGGCCTAGGTTTCCTTATCTATCAGATGATGTTGTTAGGCTACCAGCGGTCAGGAACCTGCAGCCTCCAGACTGCAGGTTCCCCACCCCTGGCAGTCTCTCAGGTTCCTTCTCATTTTTTTTCTCTGTTTTACATGGCGCAAGGAGCATTTTCTACAGATACATTAATACCCTTTCGCTTCCTTTCTTCCTTAAACTATGACCTTGAAAGACCTATATGTGGTTTCAGAAGTTCAGTCCAATCTTCTTACTTAAAAGGTTCCCATTATTTGGCCTCTTTCCCTTCTTCTGGTTTGGGGTGGGAGTTAGGGGCGGGAGGTGGCGATTATCCACATAGAGTTGCAATTATTTCATGGTGGAGATTTTAAGACTAAATTTTAGTTTTGATAGGAAAGTTCTTTTTGAAGGACTTAAATAAAAAACATTACTTTTTTGTGCTTTTAAACAGCTCCTTTTCCTCCCATGCCCCAAATAGTACTATCCAAGGACTTTGGTCTTGGCCTGTAGTTCCATTGTTCTTCCAATCCAGGGTCTTTCTTTAAAGATTGCCAACTATGTGATGAAACGAAATATTTTCATGATGGAGATAAATGTGGTGAGTACGTTAAAGCTACCCACCTAGTTTTCACAAATAAAAATGTTGCTTTTCCTGTACACCAGCAATGCATTGTGCCCGTGTGACAATTAAAAATCCATACATGTATAATTAATAAAATAAGTCATTAACAGCTGTGAATTTGAGGGGGGTTTCAGTCTCTTGAGGGAGCAGTCTTCATAATTTTGTTGTGCCTAGAGCATGTATGAATTATGCAGTCTTTCTAATTCATGATAGCAAGGCTATAATTCTAACTGCTGCTGCTGAAGTATTTTAAATTGACATTCTTTTTGATGTTTTGTTTTTCCAGCACAGCAACCTTGCTATAAAAGTGGAGAATGGTCAATCTGAATTAGTGAAAATGGAAGTTACTTTACGTTTTCAAATTATTTACTTAGGAAAATCTTTTTCATCATTCACTTTACTAAGATAAAATTTAATCTGTTTAGTCAGGACATTTATTTCTAATGTATATTTTAAAGAACATTTTAGAGAAGAATCTTAAGTGGATCTGTGCATCCACTTTAAAGTGATATCTATACTTTGATTTGTGCCAATTTATCTAATTTGGCCAACAAACTTGTACTATAGTTACAGTAATGAAGGTAGTAGTGCTTACTAATTAAGAAATTAATTCATGTATTTTCCTATTAATTGCTGGATACTTCTGATTTAAATATTTTTTCCCCTTATTTTCTTTTTATACCAGTACATTCATAGTATTACTCTACAATATTTGAAACCATTACCTTCTCTAGAGAGAGCCCCATATTAAATTCCTTTTTACATGCACCTTGAGTGCTTCATGTCTATTCATTTTTGATTTAGTCTCATATGATGAGTCTTCTTTATTTAGCTTAAGTGACTTGACATGAAATGCATACCACAGACCAGAAAAATAGATGAGTTTTAAGAAGCAGACAGGAGACACTGCATTTCCCAATGTGCGAAAGGCCCCTCACTTTTCCCAAAAAATACGTTGAACGTACACTCATTTGGTGGTATCGCTCTCTCAGTGAGTCTGTTTTCTTTTTAACAGCAACAGTGGCAGCCATGTATTATAGCTACTACATGTTGCCGGATGGAACATGTTGTCTTGCGCCTCCACCCCCGGGAATTGATGTTGCTACTTACTACAGTGCTCTTCCTGCAGGGGTTAATGTACCTAGCACCACAGGAGTAACAACCGTGCCTCCCCCTCCTGGGACTACGCCGCCCCCACCCCCAGCTACAACGGAGTCCAGCAGCGGGCTAGCTTCTGCCACAACTCCATCCAGGTATGACACGTTCCTGCATAATTTCTCATTTTTGTAACTAACACCACATTGTAAGTCACTGTACATCTTGTAATTCCCAGTTTGACTTATAATAAGTGCTTGATAATATTCTTTCATCTATTCATTGTAACCGCCTTACTACATTAATATTATGTTTGCTAGATTTGGAATATTCTAGTTTTTTCTACTAATCTCAGTTTAGCGTTTGTTAATCTTTAAGAAACTTTTTGACATTATTTTGGGTCCCCATGAATTTAAGTAATGGGCGTCTAATATTTTCAGTACCCTTGCTCCAGTGGTTGCCATTATCCCTCCACCTCCGGACATCCAGCCTGTAATTGACAAGTTGGCAGAGTACGTTGCTAGGAATGGAATTAAATTTGAGACTAGTGTTCGTGCCAAGAATGATCAGAGGTAAGATCAAGTATTTTCCTGTTTGGGATTTTGTGGGGTTTTTTGATGTCTTGCTTGGTACAGATTTTTTTTTTGTTTTTGTTTTGTTTTTTGGGTTTTGTTTTGTTTTTTTGTTTTTTTAAATTAAATGCATGTTGTAATTCTCTCTAATATGCTGAATTACTTAAAAATTTTTTTTAATAAGCATGTTGATATTACCTAGAATGTAAAGGCCAGAAGACATGCTTTTCAAGAGGTATCCCAGGAACTGGGGCACAAACCATTTTAGATGTCAACAGTAAATGGTATTCCTTGCTTCAGGTAGTGCAGTGGAATTTTTTTGTTGTTGCTTTTGCAGTATTTTTATATTGTTGACAAATTATTTTGTTATTTTGTTAATAACAGGTTTGAATTCCTGCAGCCATGGCACCAGTATAATGCCTACTATGAGTTTAAGAAGCAGTTCTTCCTTCAAAAAGAAGGGGGCAACAGCTCACAGGTATATATGTAATGATTGGCATTAATGAAGAAACTTTATATTTTAACTTAATTTGCATACACAAAAATGTGTTTACAAATTTCTCAACACAAGTCAATTTAGGAAGAAAGAAAAGGCCATTTTGGTTACATGTCTAGCATGTAAAGTTTATAACTTTACTTTCTACATGAGAATGTAGAATGAGCATTTTAATACCTGCTGAGAAGGGATTTTGAAAAAATGTCATAGTGCAGTGGTGACACACTGCTAACACTGTGTCTGCTGCATTATCATGTCTTGGACTGGAGTCAGGGTTCCTGAAGGCTATGCCATTGACATACAAGCTCTGCCAGCTTCTACCAGGCCAGAAAGCCTTCAGGAATGGGCCAGACCACGAATGGCACTAATTAAAGATATTCTTAGCTAGATATGAAGATAGTGCTCGATAGCGAGTTGGCCAACACAAGGTGAATTCTTTGGCCACAATGATCCGTGAAACACTTGAAAAGACAAAATGTGGTACTTGTTCCATGTCAGAGGGGCAAAGTCTGCTAAGAGACAGTTTTTTAAATTCTATAAATACTCATTTAACTGTTGAAAATTTTCATGTGAGATCTTTGCGCAGTGAACAAAACCATATTCATAGCATAAAGAGTTGTAGGTATTTAAAAGGAAATCTCATAGCTGAATAGAGCCCACAGCTAAATAAAGGGGTAAGGGGTTGACAAAAATTGGTTCCATTGTATGCCTAGATATAACAAGAAACCTCATTTTGTGTGACACTTAGTCATCTTACCATTTGGTGCTTATACCAAGTAGAAGCAAATTATCGTGAAGCCAGTTAGGCTACTGTAGAATCACAAAATCTGATTTAGAAAGAACCTCAGAAACCCTCTAATCTAACCTATACATGAACAAGAATCCCCTAGAAATGGTTGACCAGATATTGCTTGAAAATCTGTGAGAGAGGAGAGACCCACAGGGGAATTAATAAAGGTAGTCCATTCTTCTTTTGTTTAACTTCAATTTTTAGGAAGTTTTACATTGCATTGAACCTAAATCCAATTCTTCATAACTTTGACTAATTGCTTCTAGTACTGCTTTCTGGAGCCAGGCAGAACAAATCTTATCCCTCTTCACATAATAGCTCTTCGAGTTCTTGATGTCAGTCATCATGCTTTTTTCCCATCCCCCTTGCTCGTCTTCTCTCTTCAGGCTAAACAATCTCAGTTCTTTAGACTGATCTTCTCTTAGAGGGATCTCGAGAACTTACACAAATCCTAGCCACCCACCTCAGAAGCTCTCCCACTTATTGTGATACCCAGAGCTATAATAGCTCACATTTCTCAAAAGACTCACAAAGGACTTTCTTCACAACAGTTGTCTAATAAGCATTATAAATAGCATTATCTCCATTTTACAGATGAGGCTCTGGCTCAGAAAGGGAAAGTGACTTGTCCATGGTCATATATCTCATAAGTGACAGAGATGGAATTAAAATCTAAGCTCCTGATTTCATTTCTAGTGTTCTTTTGTTGCAGAGAATGAAATAGAGAAAGTCTTTTAAAAAACCTATTGTTTCAATGTATACCTTGACATTCAGTAATTATCATGCAGAGGTTGACAGGGGAAGATGGTATAAAACATATTGGAAAATGTAGTCCATGAATAAGAAATGAAAAAGGCCAAAAGTCTATAGATTACTCAGAGAATTCATGCCTATATATTATGAATATTTAAAAGAGAGTTTGTTAGAGTGAATGAATGGGGGGAAAGTTATGAAGCATCTACCGCGTGCCAGGCACTGTGCTGAGTTTAGGAAATAAAAATACAAGTAAGCAAGATAGCCCCTGCCCTCAAAGGAGTTTACATTCTAAGACTACACATACATGGGAGTGGTAGACAGAAAGGTCTAGTTGACTCAACAAGACAGTGTAAAAGATTGTCAGAGCCCAGGGTTCCAGGAGTTGAAGTCTAGTTTCTGTGCAGAAGAGGAAACTGGAATGCAGGCTGCATGACAGGGATGTTTGGGAAAAGGTGTGGTGGGCCTGGATGCGAGCAAAATAAGATGAACTCTCCAGTCAGAGCCCTAGGTGGCAGGAGGCAGAGGAGGAGAGTAGACCACAGGTGGCAAAAATAGAATTGATTATATCTTAACAGGAAATGATTGTCATCATAATCAATGCAGGCCTCATTTCTGAATCAGCCGTATGCAGTTCAAATCATTAACTACTTATAGCAAAGATCAAGATTAACACTGAGTTAGATGAAAGAATAAAGAGCAGAAGATGAGTCTGAGCACAATACAAAAACCCTGGCCCAACCTACTTAAACAAGCTATTGACTGGAAAAACTGGGAAATGGATAAAATTTAAGACTGTGACTCCACTTATCACCATTTCTAAGAGAAATGTGGTCAATTTAAATGAGTCACCACAATAAGGATGCCAAAAATATCCCAGAAACCATCTCAGCCAGCAAACCAAACTGCTGGTCAAGGGAAGCATTGCTTTAGAGGTCATTTGCAAAGCATTGCTGATAGCGCCAGAAAATTGCATAGTGTCCCTTTGCAAAACAAAAGGGGGAGTATGAGGGACGTGCAGGAAATGAGCCCAGGGAAAGCTTAACTTGAGACCCAACTAAGTCATTTCTTCCTCAGAGGATTTATGTAGATAAATACAGGACAACAAATAGACGTGAAACAGCACAACTTTTCGTTCACCTCTGTAATGACCTATTCGTATAGTTGATGGCAATAAAACTACCTCCTTTAAATGCTAACATCTCAGTCCCAATGTACTACATGAGAAAGTGGAAATGACAGAAACTGCCACTGGACTAAATAGAAGTCTAGTATAGCTGATAAGAGTTTTAAAGGTACTTGGAGATTGTTCTTAGTTCAAAAGAGGACATTCCAAAAGAAGAAAATAAAATGAATGGTGTTACTGACTCCCCAGCCCCAAGCAAATAAATAAGAGACCAAGATAATATGAGCAACTATTATTGCCTTATATGGTTTCCTTATTTCTGTATAATCTTGATGAGAATTATCTACTTACATGACAAGGGTATCCTTGAAGAAAAGAGAACAAGTAGGCTTTCCTCAATTATTTCCTACAGTTTATCGCTCTCTTCAGAATTACACATTGTTCAGAGGTATAGAGGGTAAAAGTTAACTGTATTTTGATGACTAGAAAAGTATTTGACTGGTGAACAAAACAGCCTTAAAGGCCCTCTTCCAACAACATATATTCCATGCTTATACATCTCTTAACATCCTACAGGATTCTTTGATAGATAAAACCACAGAAAATTTTGTTCAGTGGTCCTCTGGTTAACAATAACAAGTAAAGCATAAAATAGAAAGATACGTCCTAGGAATATAAGGACCAAAAGAAAACCTCCCTGCCCTTCAAGGAGGTTTCTTTGGGGGGTGGAAGAGGACAAGCAGGTATGGAGAACATGCATGTAAATAATGAGAGAATTAATGACTCAGAGTGATCAGAAAAGATCTAAAATGGAGTGTAGTGTTTAGGGAAATAGGTCATAAGGACCATCTAGTACAAAGAGAAAGTGCGAAGAGGGATTTCCTGTCGATGAGGATGTTCCTTAAATGTTCCTGTTTGCAAATGGCCTTCTTAGAACTTCAAAATTGGAACAGACCTCAGAGGCCATCTAGTTCAAACCAAACCAGGATAGAATTTTAATCCCCAAAACAACTGGTCAGCCAGCCTCCACTCAAAGAATGACCTGTGGTGAGGCACTGCTACAAGTGGCATTTCATCTTAACTGCTGGATAGTTTTAATTCATTGGAAATTGTTGCTTATGTTGCATCTAAATCTGTTTCTCTGCAGCTTTCTATCCATGTTGCTGGTTCTGCTCTATATAGTCAAATATAGTATCTAATTCCTCTCCATATGACAGCCTATCAGATGCCATAAGACAACTATCATGTTCCTAAATATCTGTTTCTATGAGTAAAATGCTCCTTAAAATGCTCTTATATTCCTTCAAGCAGTATTCATGCGACATGATGTTGAAGCACTTCTTCTGATCACCCTCTGGCCCCTCTCCAAATTATTACTATTTTTTCTAAAATGTAGCATTCAGAACTGAGCGCAATAATCCAGATGTGTTCTGACCAAGGCAAAGTATAGTATAACTGTAAGTTCCTATATTCTGAACATTATCCCTCCCTTCATACATCTTATAATCACATTAACTTCTTTTACTATTGTATTTTATTCATTGAACTTATAGTCCACCAAAACCCTCAGATCTTTTTCACGTGAACTGGTTTCAAAATTGCTGTTGCTTAGCAAGAGTATCTAGTAATAATCCCAGTGTCCTGGTTTGTAGTTCGTCCAAGCCTGATGACTTAAACTCAGTGGAGGCAGCTGGGTACTCTCTTTATTCCTTATTTACCTTAGGTTTCAGCTCTCCAAAAACTTGTTTTTTGTATTCTGTCCTTTATACTGAAAGCATTAAATTAGAGGAACACCAGAAGACCTCTATGTAATCTGTTTTTGTTGCTGAGTTGTTTCAGTTGCGTCTTATTCTTCATGACCCCATTTGGGGTTTTCTTAGCAAGATACTGAAGTGGTTTGCCATTTCCTTCTCCAGCTCATTTGACAGATGATGAAATTGAGGCAGACAGGGTGAAGTGACTTGCCCAGGGTCACGCAACTAATAAGTGTCTGAGGCCAGATTTGAACTCATGAAAATGAGTCTTCTTGATTCCAAGCTCAGTGCTCTATCCAGTGCACTATCTAGCTGCCCCTGTAATTTCTAGTCACCCAAAAGAGATCAGTATGACCATCAGCACAGGAAATTTCCATGAGTGAGAAGTGCTTGTTGCCCAGAATTTGGTGGGATGCTCAGTGGTCAGCCCATTGAGTAGCCTGTCGGTGTACTGACTTGGACAGTGAGCCAAGCCAAGAATCCAGTACAGGGAGGAATCGTAGATCCCAGAAGTAACAGACTGGATTACTTTTAAGAAATTATACTGCATCATTAATGATTCCAAGCCACTCTGCTCCACATTCTTCCTTTTAACATCAATATTCTTCTTACATATAAGTCCATGTAACTTCAAATTAGAATAGATCATGATCTCGGAATTAAATTGGCAGTAACCCAAAAGGGATGGTAGATGAAAATAAACTGGAACATATCACCAATGACAAATGATGTTCAGGAAGTGATACAAAAGGCATCACTGAGGACACAAAGAAGAAAAGATGATGGGCTAGCTGATCATGTAGCCAGAGTGAACAGGAACCAGTGGAAAGCCCAGTGATGTACTTGCCTTCACAAAATATTAAAGAACTAGAAGACCTCCAGCACATTGAGTCTCTCCTTTATAAATGATTTATGAAAAGAGAAAATCAAAAATTACCCAAGATGGAAAGACAATAATTAGTGAAGGAGGAAATAGCCACTTTGGTAAGATCATAGATATATCAAGAGTAGAGTAGTACAGTGATACCTCATGTTATATCTTGGTAAATGTTAGGTTTCTAATTAGCCAAACTTAGTTTTCAATCTAAATCTTTTTTTAATTTTATAATAAAATTTTATTGAGCACCTGGAGCACCCATAGGGCTCTTAATATTATTGAGGTGGTAATAGTGAAAAGAAAATAACCTCCCTCTACCCCATTACCACTGCTTTTATCCAGTTATATCCCCTTCCTGCTCCCAGACTTTGGTGTCAGTTCAAAAAAAAAATGTTATTATATCCCTAGTCAAAACTTTTTTGTGGGATTTTTTTTTTGGTCTCTTTAGTTTATCCCTCCTTATTGGCCTTTCTTCTGTTTTTATTCTCAACAGCATGGAAGCCCTAACTTTTTATACCTGTTTTGGCGGAGGGGTGAGATACAACTTGCTTATCAGTAGATGTCTGCAGTCTTCTATCTTTGAATGTCCAGACTAAAGGAAATTGACTCATCTAAAGGAGATGGGGATAATTTAGCATTCTAAAATCAACCTTGGTAATCAGAATCTCCAAAGAAAAGATGTTGAACAATGGTTCACAAACTACTTTAGTCTTGAGAGAATCCATGGGCATCAAACCTTGTGGAAGAATATTTTATTCTTCCTCTTTTTTTTTTTCTGTCAGATAAAGTGCACACTGTTACCAAAATACTAGTGTCAAATGTATGTCTTGCTTATTTCCAAATTTTAAAATTATAATTATATCATTGAAGTTACATTTGGGTAATGTGCAATTTCTGTAGGTTGTAACGGCAACAGCTGTAGCAGAAGAGGTTCCAGCAGAGCCTGCCCCTGAAAGTGCCCGTGAAGTGGTAGAAGATGGTGGGTCTGAAGATGCTGCTGACACAGGAGGAAAGGGTGCCTCAGGGGCAAAAAAGGAGTCAGCTTCTAGTAAAGTCATCAGTGATGGCAAACTGGTGAAAGGTAAGTTCACATGGTTCTTAAAATGGAAATCTGATCCCATTTCTTTGTTTTCAGTTATAAACTTAGCAGGGAAGAATTTAGAATTATAGTACATCATATATTATTGTTTGGCACTGGTTGCTATTGGTAAGTCAGTGTACTGATGACTTATTTCAAACAGAGGCTTATCTGAAGTTCCTTTTCATTAGGTGATCTATTTAGAACAGGTTAAGGGAAAGAGATAAAATGCTTAGAAAAAATTTTCAGATATTTTCAAGTAGTTTAGAAGCAATAAGATATTTATAACTAGAATTTCTATAGTGCTTTAATACATAACATGTATTTAGCCTGACATATCCTGGCTGCCTGATTGTGAGCAGGCCACTTAACTTCTCCATGCCCCAGGAAACTCTTTAAGAATTAGAAGTTGTGAACAATTGTTGATCTGCCTTAGGAAAGGGAATTTCCTCACCAAAGCTCCAGAACAAACCAAGACCACCACCACCACCCAAAAAAACCCTTTTTAATGAATCAGAGGCTATTAAGAACCAAGCTAAGCACTGTGCTTGGAACTGAGAGTACAAATAAAGAGGTTTATAAAAGGCTTTTGTGTATCATCTCATTTTATACTCACAGTAACCCTGAGGAAGGTAATATATGTATTAAATATTATTATGACCCTTATTGTACAGATGACATAACCAAGGCTAAAAGAAGTGGAATAAACTGTCTATAGACACATACCTAACAAGTCATAGAGCTGAGATTTAAATCCTTTGGGCCCTTTGGCTCCAAGGACAGATTTCTTATCAGTCAACATTTCCTTAGCCCAATTTGAGGAACCATGTAGACTTCCATATCCATTCTTCAGCACACATGAAGTGTTTTTTGTATATCCAATGTTGTAAAAGGTTTAGATGAGGCAGTTACTACCCTCAAGGTCTGGGAGGGGTAAGATCAACAAAAATAACTGTACTTCACAGTATTGCCTGACGACTATGTAGCTTAACAGCATCTGGAATTAAAAAGAGTTTTCTACATCGAGGGAAGCTCTGGCCTTCTGTAGATGAAGAAACTGAAGCCTGGTCACTAGGCTAAATGACTTTGCCCAGCTTCACACAGCGAATAGCAAAAGTGGATTTTGAACCCATGATTTTTGGCTCTAAATCCAAACAAAATGGAATGTGAACTCTGAGGGGGAAATTTGCTCATTAGTCATTAGAAACTCTTCCTAAAGGAAGTGGCATTTGAGCTGAACTTTAAAGAATGGATAGGAATTCAGTGGGCGAAAAGTGGGAGGGAAGCCATTAAAAAAGAAAGCCATAGAGAAAAGTGTGAGCAGAGACATAGAGGACTGAGAGCATTTCTGCAGGCAGAGAATACATGCATTTGACTGAAGTGTTCCTGAAGGAGAGTTACATAAGATAAGATGAAAGCTACGGTGGCATCAGATTGTTGAGCTGGGCAAAGAAGTTTAAACTCTACTCAGAAAGCAATAGAGAGCCAACGAAGACTTCTGAGAAAAGAGTACTGCTGTCCCAAGATCTATGAGAAACGTTATTCCAGCAATGATATGAAAGATGAATTATAGCAGGCATTTTGAACCAGAGGTCTTCAAACTTGTTTGCTTTTTAATATTTTGATAATTGATTTTCTTGGTAATCATCTGTATTTTATTTTACATATATAAAAGAGTCTATAGACTTTGGCAGGGCCTTCACTTCAGAGTAAAGGGGGACCATGATGCAGAACAGGGGTAGGAGCCCCTGGACTAGAGTGAAGGCCAGAAGTTCTTTCAGACTATTGTAATAGCCTAGGCAGGTATGGCAGTGACTCCTCAAGGATGGCAGCAGTGGTGGTAGAAAAGAGGAAGCCAGAGAAGCCAAATTGTAATCAGCACTTTATCATCGTCATCAGCAACCAACTAACTGAGCTCTTTCGTCCCAGCTCTGAAGATGCCAAAGTACAAGTCGGGCCTTCGAGGGGCTGCTGAAAGTGACAAGACCATTGTACTGAAAAGAGTCTCAAAGAATTTTCCTTAATTCAGACAAGTTCTTCCACTATTATCTGAAGCAGTGAAATGTTACTGGATTCAAAGATATATGAATCCATTGTAGTCAAGTTAGGAGATTTCATTAGGTTCCAAGAGATGCTGTGTAATTTCAATCCACATTTATTAAGCACCTGTTTCCTGCCTTCAAGGAGCTCACATTTTTCTGAAAGGGAAACAGTATCTACACAGATAATCAAATCCTAATGACTCAAAGAGGGAACAAGTATGAACCACTGTAGACTTCACAGACTTACACTTCAGCAGAGTTAGTTAGCAAGCCCTGAGGCAGGAGTGGGGAAAGGGGTAGCACAGGGACTGGGAGGATGATGGCAGGGAAGCTCAGAAGAGGGGAGGTTTGGAGAGAAAAATATTGAATTCAGTTTTGAAGCTAGTGAGTTTGAGATCTTTATAGGACATGCAGTTTGAGATCTCTAATAGGGAGTGTGGAAATATGAAATTGGAGATTAGCACTGGATGAGCAGATTTGAGACTCGTTAGCATAGAAGTAATATATTGAAACTATGGGAGCTGTGATTACCAAATGAAGTAGTGTAAAGGGAGAAAAAAAGAGGGCCCTGGATAAAGCCCTCTGGGACACCTACAGTTAAGGGGTATGACCTGGAAAGGATCTAGCAAAAAAGATTGAGAAGGAGCAACCAGACAGGAGAGGAACCAGGAGAGAGTAGTGTCCCAAAAACCTGGAGAGAAGTGAATGTCAGAGAAGACATCAAGACTCAGAGGGTGATCAACAGCATCAGAGGCTGCTGTCCAAAAAGGTCCAAAAAGATGAAGATGGAGAAAAGACCTTTAGATTTGGCAGTTAAGAGATCGTTGTTAACTTAGGTGAGAGCAGTTTTGATTGATGACTAGACCACAGAGAATTAAGAAGAGAGTGAGAGGAGAGGAAGTCGAGGCACCTGCTGTAAACATCCTTCTCATGCAGTTTGGCTGCAAAAGACAGGAGAGATATGGGACCATAGAGCACTGATGGGTGGATCAAGTGAGGGGTTTTTGAGGATGGAGGAGTAGTGGACGTGTTTGTACACAATAGAAAAATAGCCAGTAGATAAGGATTGAAGGTAAGTGAGAGAGTAGAGATAATAGATGGGACAGTCTGTTAAAGAAGATCCCTTGTACACATAAAAGGGTTAATGCTTGCAAAGAGAAAGGCTACCTCACCATGAGACGGAGTTGAAAGAGGAAATAGTAGCCAAAGACATCTGAGTAAGGAGACTGGGAGCCTAGGAGAATTCTTGGCAAATTCTTTGGCAAAAATTTTTTTAATAGGCTATTCCGAGCTCTCCACTCCTTAAAAGTGGTGGCTGCTATATCATGTGTGATCCTGGCTCTGATCCTAGGTACCTGAATTCTTGCTTTCTGGCTGCTTGACCTGGAAGCTCCGGATTTTGTCTATGATGTTCCTGGGAGTTTTAATTTGAGGATTTCTTTTAGAAGGTGACTGGCGGATTCTATTTCCTCAATTTTTTCTGTGAAGTAGGAGAATTTTTTCAGCTGAGACGATGAGGAGGCAGATGAAAAGGTTTAGAAGAACCACTCTGGTGAATGTGTTATTGACTTAATTAGAGAGGTGTAAAACGATTACCTAGCAGTAATGAAGACCCAGTTAAGACTATATATCATAAATGTGTAATGAATCCATGAAACAAAGTTACATGATGTTCTCTATCATCATCTAGTAGCACGTGTGTAGGAGCACAGTTGAGAATGACCTAGGCAGGGCACATGTGGTGATATTATAAGGGGGCAAGGGAATCAAGACAAGAAGACAATGTCGAGTTGAACTCTACCAAACTCTACCCTTCACCAAAGGGTCAATATGTATGATCAGATTATAGTGTAAGTTGCTCACCTGACCAAAAAAAAGACCAGAGTATAAAGAAACAGTCTGGCTACTCCCTTATCCTCAGAAAGTCATAAGATCTCAAGGAAGAATCTCACCACATTAGGACTTCCTGAGGTAAAGTTGTGGAAGAAAAATTACAAGGAATGAGCAGCCATGGAAATGAGTTGTGATCTGAAACATTGAAAGAAATAGACACATCCAGGAGATCAGAGATCTGTTGGATTCTGGTAGTATAATTAAATATAAAATTTTCTTATGTTGAGCCTAAATTTGCCACTCTGCAGTCTACACCTGCTTCCATTTCATTCCTCCAGACAAAGCAGATTAAGTTTAGTTCCTCTTCCAGGTGATAGCTTTTCAAATGCTTGAAAACGCCTATTGATCTTCTCCCTGAATCTTCTGTAAGCTCGTCATCCCGATTCCTTCAACTCTTTGTTCCTCATGTTATTAAGACCCCTACCTCATTCTGCTTTCCTTCCCATGAGCGTTCTTCTGTATCTCAATGTCCTTTATAAAATGTGGTTTACTGGATACCATATTAGAGATGTGATTGACCAGAACAGAATATGTTGCACTGTCACCTTAGTCATAGAAAGTGTACCTTCATATAACCTGAAATGGCATTAGTTTCCCCACTTACCGTGTCAAAATGTTGACTCATATTAAGCTTGCATTCTACCATAGTTCCCAAAATCTTTTTTCAGACAAACCTCGGTTTAACTGTACTTCCTCAAACTTGTGCTTTTGGGGTAGATTTTTTTTTTCATGCAAGTATAAGACTTTACATTTGTCCATATTTAATTCAACCTTAAGGTGAAGCCAAGATGGCAAAATAAGGAAGTTATACAGCAAGCTCCCCTCAAAAGCTCCTCCAAACAGATCTAGAAAACGTACCAGAGGAAATCCAGAGCAAAGTTGCAGTGAACTCCAGTCAGCATAGGGAGACAAAGGTCTGTGGGTGCTGGGGACCCTCTAGAGCATCTCCTGGAGAGCATTCCAACATAGAGAGAAGCTGTTTATCAGAACAAGCAGAGATCCCAGACCCATGCAGTGACACCTTAATAGGGACAGAAGTGCCAACTGACAGCTTTGTTGTCTTCTACC